ACAGATTCCAGTAGATGGATATAAAAGCTTTGAAAAACAAAACGAAATATTTATAAATATCGTAAACTGATCCGTCGATCAATACATTCAATGTAGTTATTTCCTGTCAACAATATAATTTACTAACTGCTACCAACAAGCATCTTTATGCTCCTTATTACATCAGCCGGGCCCTCTTGGAATTTCCACCCATACGTCTACAAAAGCAATCGATTTGCTGTTGAGAATGAAGTAATCTGTTTTAAAAATTAGCCCGTTAATAACCCTCTAAATATTGACGCCTGTCAGAGTTGTTGCTGTGTCAATATGGCCGATACCGCTCTTTGTGGACAGCAAATAGAGCGGCCGGTACCCTGCGATCGCCAACGAGATAAACACACGGTTCGTACGCTGCACACGAAAACAGCGATCCAAATGCCAAACATCCGCTGTGTTTTTGTCTGAAAATATATAATTGGATGTTCTCATATATGAACGCCGAACTGAATAAAGAAAAATATCTATCCTGTTTAGATATTGTGAAATTGATATAACAGAGTGAGTGAGTGAGTTGGGATTAACGCCGCTTTTAACAGTATTCCAGTTATATCGCGGCGTGTCAGCTTAATGTGGGAGGAAAGCCCGAAGTGATGCAGGTCTCAGACGTTTACCACTTCGGTGAAACCCACGAGCACGGGTATGGTGCTGACAAACCTAGAAACATAATTGGGGCGAACCGGGATTCGAACCCACAATCATAGGTTTCTGGCGTGCCCAAGGGACGCAACTCTGCACAGCGAATCGCGGCGCCTTAGGTGACTGTGCCACCCGTGCCCCGATATAACAGAACATTATTAATACTAAATGGAACAAGAAGGGTTGTTGAGTGTTTGATAAACAATAGTTCAGGGTGTGATCGGGTAAAGCTCCACGAGAGGTTGATCGTAGAATCATAAATAATACAATACATTATCCCCTAAAATTCTTGAAAAAAATGTGCTTCATATTGTTGGAAAAAAGAATTTGTCACAAAAATTACTTTGATGCAATGTGGGCAATAATGAAAAAATATCTGGTTTTGAATCTGTAAGTGAAAAAATATCTGGTCTCAAAACAAAATCCGTTGATGATCGGTCCCTCGTTGTCACTTCGGTGAAACCTTCAGCACTGTTAGAGATTTGACAACGCAAGGCTAGGGTGGTCCTGTACGGTTGTTGTTGTTGTTGTTGTTGTTGTTTGTTGTTTAACGCCGCACCACTCATCAACATTGTTGTAGACTCAAATTTCGGTTGTGCCTTTATAAATGTAGAAACAATAAGTTTTGTTTGTTTGATGTTTAACGTCACACTCAGCAATATTTCAGCTATATGACGGCGGTCTGTAAATAATCGAGTCTGGACCAGACAATCCAGTGATTGACATCATAAGCATCGATCAACGCAATTGGGACTTGATGCCATTCATCAACCAAGTCAGCGAGCATGATCACCCGATCCCGTTAGTCGCCTCTTATGACAAGCATAGTCGCCTTGTCCTATACGGGCATGCATGTGGCCCTTATTTGAACCCTTGACCAGAACATCCTGGTATTGCTAAGGGACACAACTCTAAACAGGCGCTTCACCAACATTTCAGACATGCATACGAGCCCCCAGTTCCGTCTGGAGGTAAATACATTGATTTTACTCTTCGACAATCATGGAGTTGTTGACAGACTGGATGCAGCTGTCAAACTCTCTGGGCTTCTGCCGCGTTATCTGTAATATCCGTCTTGGGTTGCCAGGAGAACCACCTAGTCATTTGCGTCACATTTATGAGTTTGAGTCACGAAGACACCTTTTTAGAGAACGCATCATGTTATTTGTTCTGTTTAATGATTTATGGCTTCGCCTTTCGACTTCATGCTCATTTGTTTGATAGAACCCTTGAACACGGAAGTGTGCACGTTATGAAAGCGGACACGAGCCTGATGATTAGACCTGAAGAATCCTCACACAACAATCATTTGGATGTTTTCGGTTAATAATGAGTCGGTTTATACAGCCACAACTTGCTTCAAAATGTTTTTGTTTGTCATTTTATCGTTTCGCTGAGCGAATAATGAGAACACACCGAACGACTTTCTTCATAATTGTGTTTTTCAAGTAATCTTAGCACACACACACGCACACGCACACGCACACACGCACGCACGCACGCACGCACGCACGCACACGCACGCACACACACACACACACACACACACACACACACACACACACACACACCTCTGTCTCCATTTATACCTAGGTCTTATTATGTATGTAAACCGCTGGCCAAAGAAAGAATACACCAATGTTTGATGGCTAAAATGAAACAAGAAATTGTCATTTGATGATGATTAAGATTCGGGTATTTGGTGATGTATTTGATACGGGTATCACAGTTGTGTCTCGGATCTTAACTTTGCAGTGATTCGGTGACTGTAACCCAGAAACGTTTTCATAACGTTTATATTTTTTCGTTCAAATCCAATTTTCAAGTGTATTTTTGCCCGCCAGTAAATATGCTCAATGCTAAAAAACGCTAACGCCGATTTGTGAGCTGACATTTTCATTAAATACATCATTATGTTATAAAAGAAATGTATTGATCTGAGATGCATTTCAACAAAGGTTATTTATTCGATATATTTAGATGCTTGTCTCTGGCTCATCAGCTGTCGTCATATTTTGCGTTACCATGGATATTTCTCAGACTTTCGAGCTAGCGATTGCAAGTGATACAAACATGACATTCTGAGGTAAACAACAGCTCTCTCACCTGCGTCATACTCGACACGACAGACCTCTGTGAAGTTCCTGTTTTTTTCTGATTTTCACCTGATACACTGCAGCAGCATCGTTAGGGGGTTCTCTCTCTAGTACAACAATCCCCATCTTATCCCATCCTGCATGCCCGATTACCGTTATAATTTCCGTCGCCTGAAAACCACAGTGATGTAACTACAGTATTGAGAAAATGGCTGTTGAAGTTTTGAGTTGTCATTTTATCCTTAAATAATAAATGAACCTGTAATTTGAACTATATTTAAGTTTGGATATCAGAAGCTTATTTTTGTTAGTTTCTTTCTTACATTTTTAAGGATTTCAACTGGCAGACTTGTAAGTTCAAACGCTATCTCAAACAGAAAACGTGCAGCGACAAGAAGGATTTATCTCCACTCTTATTCATGATATAATTGGTTTAGTAAGATTAAGATTTAGTTTCAGAGTCTTCGAACTCTTTTTGACATTGAAATGGAATAACGGACTATGTTAAGAATAAGGTGTTCATCTAATTTAATTGAAAACACAAGATACAGATATATTTTACGCTTAATGATACTGGGTTGGAGACTGAAACCACCCATTTCAACTGTCCGCTTAATGTCACCTGACTTAAAAACGGTTTGTCATTGGACAGTGACATGGACTAGTCGGGAACTCTGTTAGATTTGGGACTTAGAACAACTTGAAAAATCTGAAGAGTCGCTTTCTTTTCATGTTTCAGGACCAGACATTTGTCAGAAGTCAGAAAATGATGTAAAATGACCCATGAAACAAACCCATAACTTGAATTTTAAAAAGTGGACTCAGAACACTTAAGTTTGGTTTTTAGGCGACAATATGTTCATTCTATTAGGTCAGAAAAACAGCATTCGAGTTTTCATGATTTTATTCAAACTGATAGTGTAGAGAGGTAGGATTTTACTTTTTCAATTTTTAATTTTTGATATAGCAGGTTTATAATCTAAAAAAGTAGACATGGTTCATATTTATTACATGAGTCACCCACGTTGCATTATGAAGTGTGTTGAGACGCTCTCTGTGTGCTAATCTTAAACATTTTGAATGGCCTGGTGCGTGCAAAAAGTCGGAATATGATACAAAAACGAAATGCAATTTGACTAAAGCCGTATCTTTGCGCTGCTAAAATGATCAAGGGATTGGAACAATTTTCGGGGCCCTCGAGCCATGAGGAACAAGATATATCTTTTAAAAAGACTCACGATACAATGGACTCATTCGATCTTTACTATAGCCAGGTGTCGGAAGTGACGTCATCATTTCGGCCTTTGTAGAACTTAACAAAGAATTACGCGAGTGTAATTTGGTAGGACGGCTGGTTTAGGTACGTGTTATTCGCGCCAGACGAAGCTACTGTCCTGGGTGTTTAGCATAATAAAATGAGACACTGGGTAGTCGTAGAAATGTACACAGTCTCAAGGGTAACGCGATCACTTGTCGCGTGCTCGATTCCTAATTAGGTATTGAACCAGAAGCTGATTTTTTCACATATTGAACTACAATGTATGTAGGTAAAATGTTTGAAACCTATTTTTGGCAAGCCCTGTTTTTATTTTTCCAAAGTTAAATGTCGATGTATGTAGAGTGTCAGTCCCAGAGTCGCGAAGTTGTTCCCGTGTTCAGACATCATGGACGTATGATTTGTCTTAATTCAAATTGAGTTCTCACGAGGCTACATACAGATGCAATTTGGCCTCAATCCAATAAACACTGTCCACACCTTGAATACGAGTCTTGTGTTCAAGCGGGAATAACGCTTTGACTATTTCAAGGCACAAACAAGTTTGAGTCTCTTCAAGCAGAAATTTATGTGAAATACAATCTGAATAAAATAGAACTAGAGACGAGGCGCGTTTCAGACTGAATCTACAGAGGATACGGCTTTGTCGAGAAAACATTTATGATATGCTTCTCATATTTCAGAGACTATTCACATCAATCGTACACCGACCATTACACGCTGTAAAACCTCAGTTCTAATGTCTTTGAAGATGGCGAAATCAAAGTTGTTTTCAATAATCATTCCAGCGGCTTCTTGTCAATCATTTGTCCGATCGGTTAGAAAGAGAGATATTCTACATTCCCAACTTAAACATAATTTGTACATCTTGATTTTGTATTCTGACGTCTTGTTATATTGATTATTTTAAGTCTTTCAGCATACACTATTACATGATTTGATCTGGCTTTCAGATGTGACCTCGTTCTGCAGTGCCAGAAGATCCCGCTAGAGATCGCCGCATGATGTCTGGAGAGCGGAAAGCGGTATCGCCGATACCCGAGGAGTACACGGAAATTGCCGAAGAGAGGCACGAACTTCCGGCAAAGCGTCACAGCCGTGGTCGGATCCATGAGTCGGACCGTCCACCTCAGAAGAGAAAGCGGAGCTGCCCGGATTATTTCGGGGTGAAGTCGTACCTCCACAACTTCTACGACGCCAGCGCTGTGTACAAAGACCCCATCATCTACGAAGACGATGACGACCTTCGGTATCTGTTGGCTCCGTATCCCCGTCGTCGACGATGTCCCCCGATATGGTGGAAGATCTTCATGTGGGTTGGAGTCAACCTACTCCTGTTTGGCGTCATCGGGATCCTCGTGGGTTATCTGGTTCCCCCCAAACACCCCCTCGAACGCGTGGACGAAATCCACGACATTGCCTTCGTAGACCGAAGTGCAGAAGCTTACAATACTACACTGGATATGTGCAAACTCATTGGCCTTATCTTGTTCTGTGTAGGGGGGATAACTCTCGCCATGTCACTCCTTTTCCCAAGCTTCCTGTCCCACTACTGCGATGATGACGGTCGGGACGAGGCGATCAAGGTGCCCCTGAGGGATGGGGAAAAGACGCCCCTTAGTCCAATCGAAATGACCATCCCCTCGTCATCAAAGGTCAGAAGCGTTCAGCCTGCTCGGAGAAGTCCGGAATCCGTCATGACACAAGGGGGAACCAAGTCGGTAAAGGACTGAACAGAAGGGAGATCACTCCTGGCTGCGACTTGATAACGACCTGGATTATCTCCCTTGACTTCGATGACTACGACAAAATGTTGTGCTAATATCATTGTTTGGTTGGGAAAGTGTTTGGGATGTCAGGAACTGATATCCTTGAAGAATTCGAGAGGGTGTAATTCTAAATATCTATGAAGAAGGCGAATACTTCACAGCATGTGTCACGTACCTCAGAGTCAGATATGGTACTAGAGTACTAGTAACCTCAGATGAAGAGTATTCAGCTCGATTGTGTGTTATAGTCACAGAGGGTGCATGCGTTATTGTGATGAAAAGGTGTTCACTGCACGTGGAGAGAAATAGCGAGACTGATGCGAGAGTAACGGCGATATAAGATTGAGGCTCCACGCGATGTCCCTCAACGCCTGACCGGATTAAAACTATACAGAATATGTCATTGTAAATGTCAGTTTGTTTTAATCAGTAAATATTTTGTTTCATACAACTCAGTATCACCCGGATATAATATGCTAGTAGTTATCACGTGTGTATTTCGTGAAATCAACATCATTGTCCTAAAACATGTTTGCCATCAAGGTCAGTCACCAAGGTCAAACATCAGAAAGAAATCTGGCATCGATATTCATGATCATGCAAATACTCTCTTTTGAAACGACTTGCTCCTTAAGGTTTTCAAAGAAACTGGCTAATGGCGTTCTTCGATCGTAACCTACTAGTATAAATAAATAAAACAGTATTGAAATATGAAATTGACATTCCGATTCGGCCCATCATCATTGTCACTGACCAATAGTTACATAATCACATCGCCCACACTTATCAGAAACTCTCGTTATCGATTCCTCTCTCGGCTTGCGTAGAACTACCAGGACAATTTGCTAAGTGGGAAAACAAGCCTTGCCGTCAGGTGTTTATATCAAGACTACACTACCCGATAGTTTCTAGTGAACAGATCTGGTCGTTATATTGTAAAAAGTCTCCCAAAGTGCTTAACCCTTTTGGTGCTAATCCAGATGATCCATTTCGGATTAACTTCAAAACTGAATTTAGAACTTATTAATCTGGTCAAGAAAAGGGTTATAAGATTTTTATTTATTTTTGTAGATGTTGCCAAAATTATTTGAGTTCGATATCCGATTGTATCACGCTACATTTCAATGAACCAGGGAATAGAAAAATCTTTCCCAAAAAAATCTTGTATTTTTTCTTACTAATCATAATGAAAGTTGTCAAGAACTATATGTTTTTCATGTTTATGTGTTTTCATTTCGACCTATGTTTTGGGGTAAAACCCCGTTAACTGTGAAATATCAAAATGATTGACAATCTCAATTCGGATACTTGATAAACGACGTTAAGAGAATTACCTAACTCCATCGACTGATTTTCAATATTTCCTGGTTTATTCGTATAATATATGAAGTACGATTGTGCCGAACTGTAACACATAACGAACAAAATATGCACACCTCGTGCAATGGCTATCAAACAAACGTATATCACGAACATAAATGTATTGTTTGGTACAGATCGACACATCCGGACTTTCTTCATGTATCATTTTGAACCTGAAACTCATCCCCATGTAGACACTGCTGAGGTCTGTCAGAATGTTAACTATATTTTGAAGTCTGTTCCCAGTGCTCCGTACAGTAACGTGCGTTGTGTGTATGTGCGTGTGCGTAAATCCAGTCCAGATATGCTGGAAACACGGGAATACGATTCTGTTAAAAAAACTAAGGTAAGGTTTCTGTCGAGTTTTCTGACATAATTGGCTGTTATCAACCGCATGTCAATAACACAGCGCCTCGACATATGTCAATGCACGAGGAATGGGATTGCTAGCTTGAAACATCAATAATAGCAATGGGGGGGGGGGGGGGGGGGGGGGCACGGGTGGCCCAGTCGTCTAAGGCGCCGCGATTCGCTTTGCAGAGTTGCGTCCCTTGGGCACGCCAGAAACCTATGATTGTGGGTTCGAATCCCGGTTCGCCCCGATTATGTTTCTAGGTTTGTCAGCACCATACCCGTGCTCGTGGGTTTCACCGAAGTGGTAAACGTCTGAGACCTGCATCACTTCGGGCTTTCCTCCCACATTAAGCTGCCACGCCGTGATATAACTGGAATACTGTTAAAAGCGGCGTTAAACCCAACTCACTCACTCACTTAATAATAGCAATGGCAAATAACAAACATAAATTATATCGCCTTAGCGAATCTATCATAAAAGCGTTTCTTTATCACTGAACTTTGAGGAAAGAGTGGTGGAAACATAATTTTTGGACGTGCTTATTAATTATATGCTGAATGACTGTCAGGTAAACTATCGACCCACCCACTAAGAGTCTTTGTAAGAGTCCAGGTCAGGTAGGTTTAAAACAGTTTTGAACCTGCAACAACGATGTCTATATTGTCCAAGTGCAGTCTCTGCTTCAAATAATATTTTCTCGAAATGTTTGACGTAAAAATAATTATGTTGATTATGTAAACGCCTGGGCGTCAACGTCATGAGCATCTGAGCAACATCCCCACGGTATCAGTGAACAGAGGAACACGTCTGTGAAAACACGTTTGCATATCAACGAGATCGCTGTTAACAGTTTGATCACCACTACTTAAAAGTCAATTCTAAACTGATTTCTGAACTGTTTTTCCATACTTCAGAATTGTTGGAGACATTGAGCCTCGTTTTCAGAGCGCCTCGTTCCCGTGTTACCGGTATTTCAAGGTCACGTTGTGAGGAGGACATCCTAGTTGATTTGTGCATGTGTAAGTCCGTAATAAACTGTTGGCAATGTTAATATATTTCGTTTTCATTGAAAAATAGTTTAATGATATCAAGTAATTTAACCACAGGTCGGCTGTCAATGCTCGCCTTTGTTTCCAATGATTTGTTGCAAGAACGACCATCCTCGCACTTCCGGCAACCCAGCACTTATACCGGATATAGAACATTCAGTTCAAGAAAGACGGAAACTCCGAAAATAACGTTTCTCGGTCGTAACGAGTATTTGATGAAGGTTGCGTGACTTTGACTGCAGCTGCGTGTCTGAGACTGCGATTGTCTGATTAAGATTGGATGAAGGCGTGTATGTGTGTTTGTCATTTGAAAGGTAAGGTTCAAGTACGTATTACACAATCTCCTGTAACATGTGACATTAAGTTTGCCTACGATACACTACGATAAGAGGGGTCAGAGTTTGGAACAACTCCTACTCCGTGCTTATCGGAATCCGCCTAAATGTATTCTTCTAACCTGGCATACATGTAGAAGATCCACAAAGTTATAGAAAAAGCAACAAAAATATTACAAAAACCTATCCTTGTTCCTAGTTATGTATTTAATAGTGTTTATATTATTAGAATTTAAACAGACTTCAAACGTTGGGTCTTCTATTACTCATTACTTTGTTTTGGATATATTACCCCCCAAAAAAAACAACAAAAAACAAACAAAACAACAACAACAACAAAAACCAAAAAAAAACCAAAACCAAAACCCCCAACAAAACAATACAAACTAGACTAAAATAAATTTATTTTTAAATCCAGAATAATATACCATTATAATACGAATACTGATAAAGACATGTTTTTCTGGTGACAGCCATAACAGTTTCAAATGATTCTGAGACAGATTACAAGCTTGGTCATTTGAGAACTACAAAGAGCAAATATAATTACTACGTTCTTGATCCGAAGACAAGGATTCACCCGGTCGCCAGAGCAACGAAATAATTTTTAAGCCATTAATCGTCGAAGAATCCATCAGCTCCACAGATACCACATCTCACGAAAAAGCACCATGCCTCTTTTAACAACAGTAGGCTCAACTAAATTGCGAAATACGAACGCAAATCAAACACCCTCAATTAACGAGCCAGACTGTTTAACTGGAAAGAAGCATTGATTATGTGAACATGGCGGTGAACTGTATGCGCGTGAGACACCGAAGTCAAGTCAGGTTGCCGAGCGGTCAGCGAAATTGATTAGCAGATCGGCACAGACCATTATTGGTATAACATCGGCATGTGTGGGAGGGAGTGAGGGACCGCGATCGATAACCAGGGGGAAACGCCAGTGCAAAGTCTATTTCTGACCGAAAAACATCAATATTTTACTTGAAATGTCACAACACTTCATGTTGTGCTGTAAGGGACATTGACACCCGTTTGTCGGAGTTACATCTGGACATTCTATTAACACCGATGATTACTTGTTTGTTTAATGCATGTTTTCTATACGATTTCACGAAAACCTCGGGCTGCGAGTCTAAAGTTGGCTGTACTTAGAGCGATATACGGGCCCAGTAAGCGTGAACTCGGAGCAGGTACACTGTATATTAATATATCTATAACCTTTCCAGTTGAGGTTATATCAAACAACAGGCTAATTACTCTGATAATGAATCTATTTTCAGTACAGAAGATGACGCGTTTGAAAGTTCCATCATCGTTCACGGTGCTCATGCCGCGGTATAGAATGTGTCCGTTTATATCTATTGATCTGCCTTACAACGTATTAGATTCTGTGCATCGACCCAGGTTATAATTACCTGAAGCTGCTTTTGAAAAGGCCACGGAGATGTGTTAGTATATGTGGGACTTCTATATCGGAGGCAGTTGGGTACCCTAGGGGTTAAAGCGTTCTCTCGTCACGACGAAGCCCGGATTCGATTCCCCAAAAGGAGGAATATGTGGAGCCCATTGTTAGTTCTATTGATATATGTGGACTTTTGTTAAAAGTGCCATACTCACTACTTCATCTAACGAGATAGAAAGGTTTTATATATACTATTCAAAAGAAGTAAAAGAAGACTTTTGTTCATATGACTAAGGTTAATCTGTCGTGGCTGGCGGGTATTGCCACACACAACATTTCAATTGTGGGTGTTCTTTAACTTGTTTTGAGTAGTATATTTGAGTAAACTGGCCTTTTTCATAAACTAAACCAGATCCGTGTGCGTGCTATTTTACGCCGCATTCAGGCACGACTAGTGTAAATACCAATGTTTGGGCCGGATCAGGCACAATATGCATCAGTTAGTGCTACATTTGAGAGGACTAACGTTCATACTTTATATAACGACAGTGAATATGCTTTATAGTTAGGACACACTTTTTAAAATTGTTTCACGGATTTATTTACAGGAAAATACCTGTCGGTAGGTTGGGAAAAAAGCAATTTCGTTTATTTTTTGTTTTCTGCTCCACTGCAAGTCGGCTGGTATAAACATACATATGGTTTAATGTGGGAGAAGACTGCAACTCGGCTGGTATAAACATACATATGGTTTAATGTGGGAGAAGAGACTGCAACTCGGCTGTTGCTCGAAGCAATGCCAACATGAGGAATCAAGTGGGAATACGATTGTGCATCTATGCATGCTATACATTTCAGGAATACAACAAACTTAATTTGACTCATGTTTAATATGACAACTTTACTGGGCCCTTGGTTAGAAAATATGTTTTGTGTAAAAATATGCCATCAGCTTAACGGCGGGATGAAAAAGGAGAAAACATTCTGAATGTTTTCTTTCCATTTCAACAAAATTTACAGTCGGTGGATCCGTAAAGCAAGTCAAACATTGTGCGGCCTCTGGGGTTATGCAATAGGGCTGTTACATCGCACTTCATGGGAGAAACTTCCGGTTCCGGAGTCATCAGCGATGATCACCGAATTCGGGGCTCCCCCTGATCCCCATAAACTCTTAGACCCCATACATGGCTCTTGGGGGAGCGGTCGGGTAGCTTAGTGGTTAAAGCGTTCGCTCGTCACGCCGAAGACCCGGGTTCGATTCCCGACATGGGTACAATGTGTGAAGCCCATTTCTGGTGTCCCTCGCCGTGATATTGCTGCCGGAATATTGCTAAAAGCGGCGTAAAACCATACTCACTCACTCATGGCTCTTGGGGCATCTTCTTTCCTGATCCTGAACAAAAATTCCAAACCATCTGCTGACACCTCTGTTATTCAGTTGTTTGTTGTTTTACGCCGCACTCAGCAATATTCCAGCTATATGACAGCGGTCTGTAAGTAATCGAGTCTTGACTAGCCTTTCCAGTGATTGACATCATGAACATCGATCTACGCAATTGGGATACGATGACATGCATCAACCAGGTCACGGGTGTTGTCATTCAGGAATATACATAGAGAAGAGGATATTAACTTATGGTGAGTGAGTGAGTGAGTGAGTGAGTGAGTGAGTGAGTGAGTGAGTGAGTGAGTTTGGTTTTACGCCGCTTTAAACAGTATTCCAGTTATATCACGGCGTGTCAGCTTAATGTGAGAGGAAAGCCCGAAGTGATGCAGGTCTCAGACGTTTACCATTTCGGTGAAACCCGCGACCCCGGGTTACTGATTGTTTGTTTAACGCCATGCTCAACAATAGTCCAGCTATGTTACGTCTGCTTGTTGATAATCGAGTCTGGACCAGACAATCCAGGGATTCACATCATGAGCATCTATCTACTCAGTTGGGATACGATGTCACCTTTTATGGTGTGCCATGATTCTCTTATGTACTTTGTTACACGGTGGTTATTTGCTGATGACATGCATCAACCAAGTCAGCGAGTCTCACCAACCGACATCGTTAGTCGCCTCTTACGACAATCATAGTCGCCTTTTACGGCAAGCATGGGTTGCTGAAGACCTATTCTACCCCGGATGTTCAGGGGTCACACAGGGTACTGGCACATATAGGATACGCACCACTGCACATCGTACTGTACGACAGCGGTGACATTGCTTGTAAATAATGATAGCAAGCGACCTGAGCGACAAGGTATGCAGAGTTACTTCCCTTCCATACAGTGTGCCTGTTGGAGTTGGTTACACACAGCCAACTGTCTCCCATGGAGT